ATAATATAATATATAAAATATGAAATTATATATATCAGTAAAAAATTAATATATTATCTTATACACATAATATTAAATTAATTTATTTATATATATTTATTTTTATTATATGTTTAACGCGTGTTAATACGACGAATATTTGAATGAATTTTGTTTTATTGCAAATTCGACGAATCTTGAAAAAAAAAAACAAGGTACAAAGCTTTGTACAAACACTAATTGTAATTTCACGATTTGTCAGGTGTCGATCCAAGGTTACTGTTGGGTGGCACTGGTACAGGAGGTGATCGTAACACGTGGGAGGGTCGTTATCACGTTAAGGAACATCGTCGTGCTGGAAAAGCAACCTTCCAGGGTCAAGTTTACAACTTTCTCGAACGTCCTACTGGCTGGAAGTGCTTCCTGTATCACTTCTCTGTGTGAGTAATCAATTATTTTCTTTTATCATCATTAATAATTCACTATCTAAAATATTTTATATAAATCTTTCCTTTTTTCAAATTGATCGTTACTGTAATCTTAATAATTTTCTACAATATGTGTCTAATTTAGAATTTATTAGATTTAAAATTGAATTTGGACAAAATAAGAAATAATAATAATTATAAAAGAATTAAAAATAATAAAAAAAACATTAGATTATTATTATTGATACATAATAACAATATATAATTATATATTATATATATAATAATATTAGAAATTGCAATGCTGTAAATTGTATAACTTTGCTAATTTCTTTGAAAAGTTTTGGCAAATATTTTTTATACTAAAAATATACTATTCACTTTTAGTATAACAAATATTTATCAAAACTTTTCAAAGAAATTGCAAAGATGCACTATTTACAGCATTACATTCTCTTACATTTCCTAAACTTTGCATGTTAAATTTATAACTAGATATGGTGTTCTATGTGTAGACAAAAGTGTATACTTTAATTTAATATAAGTTTTATTAAAATCTATTCACTATTAGTATAAAAAATATTTACCAAAACTATTCACAGAAATATCAAAGTTGTACAATTTACAGCATTGCAATCTCTGATTCTATAGGATATCAAAGAATTATATTCGATGTCTAGGAATTACTAGCAATGACTAACTTCCAGCTTCAACGGTAACATATACATATATGGTGTCTCTAAAAAATTTTATTTTCTAATCTAAGAAAAGAAATTTCATCGTATTTCATAAATTATTTGAACACCGACTACTATGCGAAACTTTGTCTGCCCGTCTGTCTGTCTGTCTGTCTGTCTTTTACTGACTGTCTCGAAAAAAACTGTCTCGGTTCGTGTTTTTATTAATGCAACGATGCCTACTCGTCAATTTTCTTCAATTATCGATTAACTTAAATTGAATTATTTATTCGTAACCCTTTTCGTACAAATTAATTCACGATTTTCTATATAAATATTTGATTATTATCATCGTTAATAATGTGCATCTGGTTCAAATTATATATTCATCTATTTATTAATATCTAAATAAGGATTCCACCCCCATACCGTTTTCTTTTTTTTGCTTCTTCTCAACAGTATCGTTCATTACATATATACATATATACACACATACACATGCACAAGCACGCGTATTATACGTAAATTATTTAACTTTGGGTTGAACCCTTTTGTTACTACCAACCCATATATAGGTCGTTAATGTAAAGTTAACGTAACAACCAACCCCATAAAAGGAGGGATCTCGTATCCATCAGTGAATTTATATAGAACTATATATATATGCTAACGTTAACATTAAATTTAGTTTATATGTACACGTATTAGTGTGTGTGATAATCCTGAATTGATTTTAATTACATTTTATATTGGACACGTGTATTTTGTGTTATTTGACATAAAATAAAAATAAAAGAAAGAAGTAGAGAAAAACAAAAAAATGAAACAAACTCATAGGAAATATTGTTAGTCACGTTTTCCATAGGGGTGATACGAAAGAAGGGGGGGGGAGTGGGTTCTTATCACAGTCAATTTAACTTTGTCATTTAAGTTAGTTCAACGTTATCGTGTTCTTGAACCTACGACAATGAAAGTTGATAGATTTTGATAGAAAGGAACTAGAGAATTCTTGTTATTTACCCGAATGGGGGGGGGGATATATTATCTTCTTTTAATAAAGTTTAAGTTAATATATCTTAGAGAAAATGATGGATCGTATAAACTATACATGGCAAAAGTTTCTACGAAACACTTTCTTCCACGTATTTCAATTCCACGAAAATGGGATAACTCATGAGAACATTAATGAACTTCCTATTATCTAAATTATTTCTAAATATTTCAAACACACCTAATCTCCTTCCACGTTTCTCGTTGAATTTGTGCAATGAATGATGTTTAAATAAACAAAATATTTAAAGTTTAATATATTCGTATATTAATTATATATAAATAAATAACATTTAATACGTTATAGAGTAAATAAATTATTATATTATTATAAATTATTCAATGTTTTTGTATAAAACAAATTATGTTTCGATTGATTTCATTAAATTCATTAGGTTTATTCGATTATTTATGAAAATTAATCAACGATATTAAACTTTTGGAAAGAAATATAAACGTTTGTGCATACGTGTATACATATATATATGTGTATGTGTATGTTCATATACCTGGGAAGGTAGGAAAATTGAAGTTAGGGTGGTTTCGTACGTGAAGCTTTTCCAATCGATTTATATCCACGTATCCACGTGGTACTCCTCGTGTTACTAAATCGTAAAAGCTCATCGACCATGAAAACCTTTTTCTCTCAACCCCTAGCCTTCCCTTACCACCCTTCTCCCCTATCATCATCTACGTGAGTGAAATTTCAACGGATAGATGGCAGTCTATATACGAGTGACTATCACTTGGTCTGATCAATATCCGACTTGTTTCACTTATCGGATGTACGTAACTAAAAATGTGTAGGAATCTGCTATTATTGTTTGCACCTTTTATGACCTAATTAATAATATAATATATATTAATCTTTTTTATTATACGACAATTGTATTTTTATTATTTATTGATGTTTTTTATTTACACACTGTATTTTATTTTGTTGTTTTTCAATCTGTCCGATCTAATTATAATATAATATATATATTAATTTTTTTTATTATACGACAATTGTATTTTTATTATTTATTGATTTCTTTATTTACAAGCTGTATATATATAATCAGGTTTTCATTGCACAACTTACAAAGTTTTTTACAATTTCCAAGCTGTATTTTATTTTGTTGTTTTTCAATCTGTCCGATCTAATTAATAATATAATATATATATTAATTTTTTTTATTATACGACAATTATATTTTTATTATTTATTGATTTCTTTTTAACTTTATTTTGTTGTTTTAAAATTTGTCCGATATTACGTTTCAAATGTTACATGAAAATTTTGATATATTGTTTTCATTAATTAATTATTATTTATATATAATTGTGTGTGAAATGTTAAATGAATCGAAACGTAATTCACAAGTACGTATATTTCTTTTAATAATTTTAATTAGGATGATTGAAAAATTATCTTCGCATAATGAAAAATAAAGAAGAAAAAGTTTCTTTTATATCATTTATAATATTAACAATTTTATCATACATCTACGTATCATGATTTTATGTTTTTTATCCCTTTACATCGATATAATTAGAAATTAGAAACCTTGAGAAAACTATGTAAAGTAATTCCAGCAAACGTTAAGTTCAATTTCTAAGAAATGATTTGCATTTTATTCCGTAAGGAAGCCCCACTTCCGTTTCTTCAGGAGGGGTTTGCTTGAGAAATTGTGGGTATTTTTTTTTTGTTCTTTTCTCTTTTCGGATTATTTTTACACGTAAAAAGGAGTTCCGAGGAAATCCTGATTATCCGCCGATCAAAACTGTTTCTCACGCGAAACTTAACTTCCGGTTGGGAAAATTCCAACAGTTAGCCTACTTTTCTTACTATCAACACACATCTATTAACAACACGTAACATATAACACATATGTATTTTTATATATATAAATATAATATATATATGTGTGTGTGTGTATGATACATATGTTAAAAATGTATCGGTGTATACGTGTGTGTCTTCATTTGTACTGATAGCATAGCATGATCTAATTTAAATAATTTGAATAACTTTGCACGCCATCCTTGTTTAAAATAATCCTGGAAGCACAACTATCAACTTTTTTGACACTTTTGAATATAAAAATCTTGAATGAAAATCTAGTATTACGTGTTATCGATCGAGTATTTTATATTTTTTATATTTACAAAAAAAAAAGAACGAGAAAATGATGATAATAATAATAAATTAAAGAATACAAATTGTGGAATCAAGAAATTTGGTACAAATTGAAAAGTAAATTTTGAATCATGATATATTTGTGTTCGATTATAAACAAAGTATATTTATTATATTTTATGATTGTATTCGTATCGATTAAATAATTCATGATTAAATCATATATATATATATGTAAATGAATTATATATATAATGTGTACGTTTTTGATCAAAGGTTACGTTTGATTGATTGAAAATACATTTACTCAACAAATAATTACGTGTATACGTCTTATTATTCATGAATTTATTATACATTCATTGTGTTGATATAATTTGACTTTAACACACGCGTATATATTAAAATTATAATAAATAAAATAATAATAATAATATTAAACACCACACCATATAACAAAAAGCGTATATACGTATAATTAGAATGCAATTTTAAACGACACCAATAAGTCTGTTGATCAAACTTAACGTTTCATTTATTTTTTATACAACAATAAATAATAATAATAATAATAGTAAGTGACTCTAAAAAAATTAACACAAATTTATATTGGAAAGGTATATAAAACAAATTAATAATTAATTCATAAGAATATATAAAATTGAACAAATCAATTATACAGTAATAAATAATAATAACAATAACAACAAGTTACCATCTGATATTTCACTTTAAAAAAATGAATACAAATTTATATTGGAAACGTATATAAATGAATTCATAAGAATATATAAAAATGAATATGAAATGCAAAATAAAATAATACGTAAGATTAAAATAATGTTTGATTGATGGTAAAAAAAAAGATTGACGGATTGACGGATGAAAATGATGATTAGATTGATAAACGAATGAATGAATGAATGAATGAATGAATGAATAAATTGTTGATTGATATTGATTCGATTGAGTTAGGATACTTTAGAACAAAACAACCGATATTGATTTTCACACATTTTCTAAACACCGTATACGAATACGAATATCAATTGTATTTCAATATCTTTCTTCTTCTCTTCTTTTCCTTATATTCCGTGCATATTTTTTTTTTTCATAATTTTTCTTTCCTTTTTTTTTGTCCTCCCCCACCACCAGCCCCCTCCCCCCTATTATATGTATTGTCT